CCCCACCATGCCCAGTGCCCACGTCCCTCAGTGCCACATCTCCATAGTTCTGGTACACCTCCAGGGATGGTGACCCCACTGTTCCTGGGCAGCTGTGCCAATGAACATCTTGCATGACAGACAAGTTAATTTTGACCATGACACATCACAGTCCTGGCCAGGAACCTTAACTTAGTGGAATGAGAAGAGAAACGGTTTGTGCTATCACCTTACCATAATGAGACTAAGACAAAAGGGGAGAATACAGATTTTTTAAGTGACTGGAGCCAATTTCCAACTAGATTAAAAGACAGAACTTGAACTACCAGTAGCAGCCCTGGAGATTTGTTAAATGCAAGAGTGTAATGAAGACATGACAGGTCCAAGTAGAAGACACTGGTAAACCAAGAAAGGAGAGCGATTTTGGAGGATGAAATTCTTGTTTTGCTTGATACTCTTCCTTTGTGTGAATACCTTGAGCTGATACATTCTTATCACAGTTCAATAAATAGGTATAAAACAGAAAGCAGTATTTTATTCGCTTCACCTAAGTGAGTTCTGATGAGTTTTACTGGCAGTGAGAACATGGATGACAAACTGAACCATGGAGATCCCTGGAACATCATCTGCTACTGCAGGACTTCAGATAGATGTTGTGTTTGGGTGCTTCTCAGGCCAGGCTGATGAGTTTGGCAGCCAAGATACAAGGCGGCAGTTGATATCTGGCACATATACTTAATACTTAAAAAGAAGGGGAAAAAAAAACAACCATATTTGAATGTGTTCTGTGGTGGTAAAAGATGTTTCCAGCATACCATACTTGCAAATACTCATCATAGAGTAGTTGAGGGGTCTGGGGATGAAGGGAATGGGGCCCTCATGTGGTGCATCAGTCACACTCACGAGAAGGTGCTCTCTGGAAAACTGAAACCTGAGTCTATCAGTAAAGCATTGGGAGAAATAAATAAGTTTAAGGAAATCAGGTGTGAAAACATAGAGCTGATTGTCAGAGTTCTGGGAAAACCAGCCGAGACAAATGGGATCTGTGACTGCTCAGTGTGTCAGAAAATCAGCTGGAAGGCTGAAAAGAATGGTGGCAAGCAGGAACTGGAGGTCTTTTGCAAGACAATAAAGCTTGTTTCATAAAGTTGCGAAATCATGGAAAATAAAAACTGCAGGGGGAAATCTCTTTAGTCTTTTTTTTTTTTTTTTTTTAATTTTGGGAAGAGAAGAAAGTTGATTTATGTAATAGGGAGCAAGCTATCTTATAAGTGATGGAGCAGGCTCATTTCTCCCTTGGGTCCTAATCCCCAACTCCCCAGTCCCCCAAACCCAGCACAGCCTGGCTGTACTGGTAGCCTAACCAGGAGAGATTTTTGTGTTTTTTCTTTTACAGGTTTTATTTAAATTGGACACAGATTCAGAAGGCACTGAGAAGTGCCACAGTGGCTGCACATACATGCTGTACTTACATAAAGCTCATTTTGTCAGATGTCCAAGGTGACTGCTACAAGCAACCTGCACGATGCATCTGGGCACACAGGTCCTGAGGTGCACTGAGTGACCAGAGATGTCCCAGCTCACCTCAATAATTCCAAACACATGCATTCATGGGATGAGCATGGTGACAGCCCCGTGAATGGGACCAGAGGGATGCTTGCTTAGTTAGCATGCTGCTTCTTTCCACTGGATGTACTCCTCACCACACCCAACAATTTCAGCTGTCCGGCCTTCCCATCCTCCACAGAGCAAGAAGTCATAAAATGCAGCTTATTCAAGCCACTTAAGAACAAATAAAAGTATCATAATCTTCCTCTTCATGCTTTGCAGGCAAGCATATATTGTTGGTAGAAATACTGCCAAACTTCTTGTTTAAATATAGAAGCAGTGCTTATTTGCACTGTTAATGCTCCCCATGAGGACAAGCTTTTCTTCCATAAGGACACTGTTTACGATTAAGACAAGGGCTGGCTACTTTGCCATTAAAATTCTGTGCCAGTCCAGTGCTGACAATATTGAAGCTTTGCTAAATGTGTATACATGCAAGTTCATTAAATGGATGCTGACTGTTGTTACACAAGTACAGCAGTTGAGTGCTTTCTGTATTAACCTTATCACCTGATGGGCAAAAGAAAAGGTTTAACTAAAGCTTAGGACTAATTGAACAGTATTCCAGTATTTTCTTATGTAAAACTGGTTCTGGTCTATTGTTTTTATTTATTTGCAATAACTGTGCTCATTCAAGTTTGTAATGACACTGCCATGGGTGAAGAGAATTTGCTTTAAGTATTATTCTCCCTTTTCCTATCTCCTGCCTCCTCTAAACTGTGTCTCTCAGGAGTAAATTTGCAACAGAGCCCGGTACAAAGGCAGCTCTCTAAGTACACAGCCATTTTTTGGAGATATGTTCTCAAGCTGTGTTTTTAAATTACTTCAGAAGTTCCTGTTTATTTTCTCAGCCTGCCTTGGGTATTTCCTGTCAGGCTGAGTGGAGCACGAAGCAGGAGATAGGAGCACTAAGCCTCCCATGGAAAGGCAGCAGGCATCTTACAGCAGCACCCAGCACACAAACTGTGCAAACCAACCAGCACTTTCTGTGCTTGCTTACCACTAGAGTATGCTCTCGTGCTACAAGTTTCAGTTATTTTTTTTTTTTTTTTCAATAAATCGATGTGTGTAGCACAAGCCGTCTTTCCAAAGCTTTTCACTTCCCCTGGTGCTTTTTTTTTTTTTTTTTTCCCTAAGGAATATATATATATTTATATTTTGTTATTGCTGCTGAGCCCATTCTCACGGCTTTGAGAAAAGGCAGTGTTGTCTGGGGTGAGGTGACTCTGATATGGGTTTGGTCGACTCTCTCAACTATCAGAGCACACATGAAAATAGTAGAAAACATCTTCCTGGCTCACACTATGTAGAAGGAAGAAAAAAAAAGAGGGTATGCAATCCCTCTTCGTCTTGGTCACCCCTCTGGGTTATGGCTGGTGAAGAAATGGAAGTCAAACCTCATGAATTAATAGAGTTCTGCTTACAGAAGAAAAATGTAAATGCGCTCTCCAAAGCGTTTGTGCCAACATAAAGTGGGTTTGTAATCCTGGCCTTTGAAATGGTGGTAGTTATTCAATAAGAGAAAAGCTGTTGTGAGCCTGCCCTACCATATTAGAGCAAAGTACTTTGTCACTGGCCCCCTAAAAGTTCCAGTTTCTGCATGACAAAGATATAAAACAACTTGCAGGACAATTAAAGAATAGTTTGTCCTTACCATATTATTACCAGCCATTCTTCCACATTTCGATATTCGCGTTCAAATTGCTACCACCCCCATCAATATAATTGTAATCAGTCACAGTTCGCATTGTCTCTGGGTGCCTTTTCCAAGTTAAATACAAAGAAAGAAAAATAGGGCAAAGAAAAACGCCACGCTTTGGATAAAGAGCCTCGCCACCAGCCTGCTTTCACACACAGACTGCACACTTTGCTGCTAACATTACATTTTAGCAGTCCCAACGGGTGCAGGAACAATGACCCCTCTCATTACCATAGTGACAATGGCTGGTGGAAGATTGCAACATATCTTTTTCTTCTCCCCAATGAACCTCAGCCAATAACGCTAAGAACCTGCCAGCAAGTGGAGTGCATTGGAGCTTGCTTGGTCACCACAGAGCCCAGCAGTTGTGTTCTGATGGAAAGCAGCCACGCGGGCCGGCCTCACTCTGCCGGCAGCAGTATCCTGAGCTACCAGATTAACTTCTGAGCGGGTCAAGCTGCTGTTTTTTAAGCAATCTCATAGCATCGTAGAATCATTCAGGTTGGAAAAGACCTCCAAGATTCCCAAGTCCAACTCCAACCCATCCGCCTGAGCTTCGTCCCTCAGTGCCACATCTCCACGGTTCTTGAACAGGGACAGTGACCCCATCACACCCTGGGCAGCTGTGCCACTGCATCACTGCTCTTCTTGAGGAGGAATGCTTCCTAATATCCAACCTGAACCTCTCCCGGCACGACATGAGACCATCACCTTTTGTCCTATCACTGTCATCCAGGAGAAAAGACCAAGTCATCGCAATCTCCTGTCAGGGAGCTGTGGAGAGCATTGAGGGCTCCCCTGAGCCTCCTGTTCTCCACACTGACCCACCCCAGCTCCCTCAGCCGCTGCCATCAGATGTGTGCTCCAAAGCCCTCCCTGAACACATTCCAGGGCCTCAGTGTCCATCTGGCAGCGGAGGGCCCCAGCACCTGATGTGTGGCCTCACAGTGCTGAGTACAGAGGATGCCATCAACCTCCTGTGCCACCTGGGCACACTGCTGGCTCACATTCAGCCAGCTTTTGGCCAACATCCCCAGCTCCATTCCCTCCTCACAGCCTTCCAGCCACTCTGCCCCGAGCCTGTAGCACTGCCTGGGGTTGCTGTGGCCACAGTGCAGAATCCTGCAGTTGGTCCTGTTAACTTCATCCCATTGCTCTGAGCCCATCAGTGTAGCCTGACAAGGTCTTTCTGGGCCACCTATCAAACCCGCCTCCCACTAGAGAATTGCCCGATTCTACTCAAGGCAACCTCTCAGGCTGGAAGAAACCTTTATTATTTTTGTCTATAGCCTCTTCACACAGAGCCAAGCTGGCTTCTCACTCTGGTTTTACACCAGTTTGAAGAGGAAGTGCTCACTGAACTTGTATTTAAAACGTGGAGGCCGGTGTTGGCGCAGTGGCAGCAGACGGGCTCTGCCCCTGCACGGCCCCGCGCTCAGGTCCGGCTCTGTGACCCGGAGGCAGCAGCCCCGATCGCACCGCTTTCGCTGCGCCCGCCCCCCCCACTTCCCGCGCTGTGGTCCCGCCCTGCAGCGCGCCTTGCCCGGCTCCTCCGCCCCGCCCTCCCGGCTGTATCAAGTCCTTTGGGGGGGGTGGTGATGCAGAACGAGTTCTCGAGGCCTTGCTGCGTCGCTTTACCATTACGACGGCAGCCTTTCGTCCTCTATCCCTATATAATTAACGACGGCTCCCAGGAGGCTGTCTGGAGGGAGAAGAGGGGAAGGAAAACATGACGAATCGCTTCCCACTCCCCCCCCTAGTTGGCGCTGCAGTGGTGCGTTCCACCCGAAACCGGAAGCGGCCGCACATGGGCGCGGGGAGCGGGAGCGATGCGGCCGCTGCGGCCGCTGCCGGGGCTGTGGGTGCTGCTGTTGCGGCCGTGTATGCGGGCACGCTGCCGCCCGGCCTGCCCGGCGGGGACGCGGGTAATGTAGCCAGCACCCACCGCGGGGCACGGACCGGGGCCGGGGGACTGCGCTTGGGTCGGACCGGGGGTTGGCTTTGGGGTGGTGGCACCGGGGGAGATCCGAGCTGTGCGGTTGCTGTCACTCCCGTAGGGATGTTTGTCCTGTAAGAGCTGGTGCATCGCAGGCATCCTATAGGATGCTCCGTAGGGACTGTTGTTGCATTGCTGCCCCACAGTAGTGCCTCTTGCCTTATAGAGGCCATGCGTCGCAGTTATCCTATAAGGGTCATTGATCTCAGGCTGGAAGAAATCTTAAAGATCATTTAGTTCATGCTGTATAGGGGCTGATCATCCTATAGGAGTGCTGTAGTGAACTGCAGTTATCTAGAGGGATTGCTAACCCTATAGGGGCTGGTGTGTTACTGCCGTCCCATAGGGATGCTCATCCTATAGAGGCAGTTGCACTGCTGTCACTCCATAGGCATGCTCATCCAATAGAGGCAGTTGCAGTGTCACCCCATAGGCATGCTCATCCTAAAGAGGCTGTTGCACTGCTGTCACCCGTAGGCATGCTTATCCTAAAAAGGAAGTTCCACTGCTGTCACCCCATAGGGATGCTTATCCTAAAGAGGAAGTTCCACTGCTGTCACCCCATAGGGATGCTTATCTTATAGAGGCTGTTGCACTGCTGTCACCCCATAAAGATGCTCATCCCATAGGGGCTGTTGCTTACAGTCTCCTGTTATAGTATAGTGCCTGCTAACCCATAGGGCTCGGAGCCTTGCAGCCATCCTACAGGGGTTCATCTCTGGGGCTCAGCACATCATAGCCACCTCTTGGCCTTCATCAGCTCCATGGGATCCAGTTGTCCTGCAGTGCTCAGAAATCTCTGCCTTTGCCCTTCTGGGAATGCAGCTGCCTGACAGTTTGTGTCTTGCTTTACTGACTTGAGCAGAGGGAAGAAAGTTCCTCTGTTGTGTGAATTCAGTGTCATTTTGTGTAAAAAGCAAACAAAAACTACTCAGTTTCTGTATGTGTTTGTGGTTGTGATTGGGATGTTTTAGGTACTCCGATGTTTTGGTCACAGAACAAGAACATTGATGTGCTTTCCTTCTGTTATGTGGCAAAGAAGAGTTGAATGAGTGTTAAACTCCAGCCTAACTCTAGTTTCAGATCCATACACCATGCATTAAAGAAAAAATGGGGTATTCAAGTGAGGGCTTTTGGGTTTGCAGACTGTGGGGTCGTATGTTTTCACAGCTCGTACATTCAGATGGGTGTGATTACACTTTGGTGTTATTCATCTCCCTGCACTCCTGTGTGAGATCGGAGGGACTCTGTTGTGCTGTGAGCTGCCAAGTGTTAAAAGAATTTATTTCTAAATATTTTCTTGCATCCTACAATCCATAGGTGAGGTGTGTGAGGCTAGCTCTGTTTCTGCTCCAAAGCTTTTAGAAGGGTTTAGCTCCACTTCGTATACATTGATCAATAGGTATGCAGCTACTGTTGTTTTTCCAGGGAAGCACTCCCTCATGGGAAATGAACACGTGTTGAAACCTGCAGTGCCTTCACGTGGAGCTGTTAGCTCTGATCTAAACCCCTCCAGCATGGGTTTTAGTTGTGCCTGGTTTAGTTGAGCTTGTGTTTTGCCTTGGGATGTGGGCAACCAGTGCAGACCCACAGAGCAGTGCAGGCATGACCCACCCTTCCCTGCCCCATCACCTTCCTCCCCTTCTTCCCCTATTTTTTTCTGTTTCCTTCCAAACCTGCTGCGTGGATTGAATGCATTCACCAGAGCTGAACACCAAATCACTAAGATTGGGAAAGACCACTAAGATCATCTAGTCCAACCATCAGTGATGGCCTCATCCCAGTTGCCTTTTTGGGCTTTTCCCTGCCAGCAGCCACACCACCATATGGTAATAGGGCTTTTTGGGGTTGTTCCCTTCATTTCTCATGGAGAACAGCCTGCTGCAGACCTGACTGTGGTCTCTAGGAGCTCTTTGTGGTGTTACTGAACTCGATGGGCTCTCGCCTGTACCATCGAAATTACTGAAGCTACTTGTGTGAGTAAAGAGGTGCCTAAGGATTTGCTGTATCTGCTTTCAGGCAGGGAGCCTATTCTTATTCTTTTTAAGTGATCCGTATATTTTTAATTGTTCCTGAAGCTTGCAGTAATCCTGGAGTGTAAAAGGCAATAGATATTTCCATTGGCAGCTTTCTTGTGTTACTTAGCGTTACAATAAAGAAACAAGAGAATGAGTTTTAGAGCTCATTGGGATACATCCACAGATGTTAAAACTACTTAAAAAGGGATCAAATAAACTCAAGTACAAAAAAAAAAAAAAAAAAAAAAAGTTTAATTCTGATATTTCAGACACTGGTTCCAATCCTTGCTGGAGATAAGTCAGTTTTCAGGTGTGTTTAGGCCCCATTGCCTGACCACCTTTACTGGGATTGGGTCCCAGTGTGTCTGGGTCCCAGTGTGGCTGTGCTGCTTTGGAGTTGCTTCTATGTATGGTGCAAACTGACATCACCACAACGCATGGGAGGTCAGTGAGTGCAGTTTTGGGTTGGATATGAGGAAATACTACTTCTCAAAAAGAGTAGTCCAACTATCAACCTATCCGTACCCACTGCCCATGTCCCTCAGTGCCACATCTCTACAGTTCTTAACACCTCCAGGGATGGTGATCCCACTGTTCCCTGGGCAGCTGTGCCACTGCATCACTTCTCTTTTGGAGAAATTTATCCTACTCTTCGTTTTGCATTTCTGCCATCCAACGATGGGATGAAGCTGCCTCAAACTTGGCACTTCCAAGACAGCAGTAAGATGAGGTTCTGTTTCCAGAAACAGCAATTTGAGGAGGGGGAGAGGAAAATTTCTCTTTGGCATAGCTGGGATAGCAAATGTTGCATGATGATTCAACGAAATAGCATAGAATTGGTATAAAATCACATGGAAATGATATAGGGAGAGCCCTGCGCATGGCAGGGGGTTGGAATGGATGATATCTACAGCCTCTTCCAACCCAAGCCTATGCTATTTCATAGAATCATGTAGAAATAATATCTTATAGAAACATCACATAGAAATATCATAGAATTGCATGAAATTATCATAGAATCACATCGAAAACCACAGAATCAATGCCTCCAATGCCGTAATATTTAATTTTGTTGCCTCGTTGGTGAGCCCGCCAAGCTTGACTGTGCTCATGTGCACAGGCTGGATTTAATGCACGCAATTCAACAGCACTGCAGCTCCAAGTGCTCTAAAAATGCCAAGGATTCTCTGGTGCTGTGCTAACGCGGATGGTTCTGCGACAGTCATTCATCCCAGCATCGAGTACAAATGTAATGCAAAATCTTGGTGCTGCTGTGTAACAGGAGCAGCTGCTGAGCGCATAACCCTGACAGGTAAAGGGGTTGCTTTAGCACCGAGGTTGCAGATTTGCAAGCAGAGTGATTGCATTTAACCCCCTTTAAAACACGAGCCATGCGTTCTGCTGTTTGTTTGCTTATTGCTGTGGTGTTTTTTTTTTAATGAGAAACACCCAATTTGTTAAAAGGCAGCACAACGTAAGCGCTGGGAGTCGTCGAATCAATGGGTTTTAAATTAAAAATACACTGATGCATGCAGATGTCTGCAACTGGGATGTCTGAGGCCGTGCTGTAACCGAGCACACCTATGCTTTCCCTTATCTGTTCATAAAAGTCGTGCGGAAACATACAAAAGATATTTTGTGCCATGACATCAGAGGGAGAAAATATTCTTAGAAAATTTCATGCTGTTAAATCTCTACAGATTTACAGTTTTATCCAGTCAAATTAATGCAAAACCCCAATGCAAGCATTTGGATTTTGAAAACTTTGGAGGAGTGTCATTTCCTAATAGTAATTATTGGTTTTACATTATTTTTTCACAGGGGAGCTGATCACAGCCGCATATGAGCTTGGAGTAAGTATTAGTTTTATTGTTTAATCAATGCTCTCATTAACAGTTTTAGGAATTAAGGAAGTTTAATTAAGCATGGAGTAAAGTAGATTAATTTATTTTCAAACCACAGTTTTTACTAACTTATAAGTACAGCACGCGACAATTTACTTCAAGTTTTAAATCCAATTAAACTAAATTATAAAGCAAAGGCTTTACTGTATATACAGTAGCTGGCTTATTATCAACCCAAATTTTGTATAAGCTGGGGAGAATAAAATAAATCGGGTTAACAATTTTAATAAGTTTTATTATTTAATAAACTTTATTATGGTGCATGATCCCTTTAGGCAAGACCTTAGGACTGTCAGCGCGGTGGTAATCCGATAGCAGTGTGGTCTTTCAACTTGCTACCCAATAAAATAGTTGAGAATCTGCTTTAAAAAAAAAAAACAAAAAAACCAAAAAAAAAAACCAGCCTTTTGAATGACCCTAATATACTGTGAACCCAAACAACAAGCAGTTTAAGGCGCGATAATGCGACGTGTCACCTCTTTTCTCCGCCGCTCATTAACGCGGGTGACGCCTGCCGCCAAATCCACTAAGGGGGAAAATATTTGCGGAGTGAAAAATTGGCACCGAACCTAAA